AGCTTAATAATGGCAGCAATGCCAAGCTGCGGGTTCTAAAGCGAGCAAAATCCTCTCTTGTATTAAAAGAGGTATAGACTCCAGAGAGAGATATCATATTACCCCGGTACAAATCATTAATAATACCTCATCTGGAATATGCAGTTCAGTTTTGGGCACCAATTCACAAAAAGAACATTGGAGAACTGGAGAAAGTACAGAGAAGGGCAACTAAACTGATAAGAGGCATGGAGGAGCTCAGCTATGAGAAAAGATTAGAGGAACTGAATTTATTCTATCTTGAGAAGAGGAGATTAAGGGGGAATATGATCAACATGTATATACATAAGGGGGGATATGATCTCCATGTATACATAAGGAGGATATGATCACCATGTATAATACATAAGGGGGGATATGATCACCATGTACAATACATAAGGGGGGATATGATCTCCATGTATAATACATAAGGGGGGATATGATCTCCATGTATAATACATAAGGGGGATATGATCTCCATGTACAATACATAAGGGGGGATATGATCTCCATGTACAATACATAAGGGGGGATATGATCTCCATGTATAATACATAAGGGGGGATATGATCTCCATGTATAGTACATAAGGGGGGATATGATCTCCATGTATAATACATAAGGGGGGATATGATCTCCATGTACAATACATAAGGGGGGATATGATCTCCATGTATAAATACATCAGTGGTTCATATAGTGAACTCGATGTAGAGCTATTCACCCTGAGGTCATCACAGAGGACAAGTGGGAACTCTTTATGTCTGGAGAAAAAGAAATTTAATCTCCAAACAAGGAAAGGTTTCTTCACAGTGAGAGCTGTGAAAATGTGGAATAGACTCCCTCAAGAGTTGGTTCTAAAAAGGCCTGGAATGTTTCTTAGATACACAGAATATAACTGGATACTACCCTTTATAGGTAAAGTTGATCCAGGGAATATCCGATTGCCTCTCGGGGGACCAGGAAGGAATTTTGTTCCCAGCAGGAGCAATATGGAGCACTCAACGCAATCTGACATTAGCCACTCAGATGTAAACAATTGGGCAGAGCTAGTGGTGATGTCACTATTAGCTATGCCCAATTGTGCTGTGATTGGTCAGTGAGAGCGCAGTGCATTGTGGAGCGCCCCTACCGTTTGTGTGTTCAGCGAACACATGAATGGCCAATGTTCGACTTGAACATCCAGCCAATCCCTAGTTGTAGATCTTTCCTTAAGAAAATTCCCCAAAGAAGACAAGTTGTCAATGTGCACAGTTTCCTATACCATCAAAAGGCACTTGGAAACTGAAGGAAAAATGGGGGATGCCTGGCAGACCCAAAGCCACAACCAGAAGACAAGTTTCTGAGAATCAACAGCTTGCTTGACAGTACATTCACAGGACAACAGCTTCCAGCCCAGCCTGACACTGATCATAGTAGGCAGGTCTCAGTTCCAACTGTGAAGAGAAGACTTATAGCTGCAGGTTTGACAGGTCAAGTGGGCATAAGAAAGCCATCGTTAAGGTGGCAAAATAAGAAAAGAAGGTTTTTCTGGGCCAAGAAGCACCATCAGTAGATTACTGAAAACTGGAAGAAGATCTGATGAACTGATGAATCAAAATTTTAGATCTTTGATTCGTCATACAGGGTTTTTGTACACCATGAGTAGGTGGAATGATGGTTCCTCGGTGTGTGACACCCACTGTCAACCATTGAAGTGGAAGCGAGATGGTCTGGAGCTCTTTTGCTGGCGCCCTGAACCAAAACTACTGCTACAGCTTTTTACAGCACCATGCAATACATTTAGTTGGTCAAGGGTTGATCCTACAGCAAGATAAAGACTAAAAACATACCTCCAAGCTGTGTCAGAACTACCTTAGAAGAAAAGGGTAGGCTTCAGATCATGGAATGGCCAGCACAGTCTCCAGACTTAAACCCCATATAGCTAGCTTGAGATAAACTGGACAGAATGTTGAAATCAAAGCAACCTACAAGGTTTTTCTGGGCCAAGAAGCACCATCAGTAGATTACTGAAAACTGGAAGAAGATCTAATGAACTGATGAATCGAAATTTTAGATTTTTCGATTCATCACGCAGAGTTTTTGTACACCATGAGTAGGTGGAAGGATGGTTCCTCGGTGTGTGACACCCACTGTCAACTATGGAGGAAGAAGCAAGATGATCTGGAGCTTTTTTACTGGATCCAGAGTCAGAGGTGCCCTGAACCAAAACTACTACTACAGCATTTTACAGCACCATGCAATACTCTTTGGAATACATTTAGTTGGTCAGGGGTTGATCCTACAGCAAGATAATGACCAAAAACATACCTCCGAGCTGTCAGAATTGCCTTAGAAGAAAAGGGTAGGCTTCAGATCATGGAATGGCCAGCACAGTCTCCTGACTTAAACCCCATCGAGCTAGCTTGGGATAAACTGGACAGAAGACTGAAATCAAAGCAACCTACAACAAGTGCAACACATTTGTGGGAACGTCTGCAACAGTGTTGGAAATAGCTTTACAAATAAGATTTGATTTCCATTGTAGAAAGAATGCCTCAAATGTGTTCGACTGTTATATCTGCAAAAGGTGGCTACTTTTACATTTTATTACAGAAAACGACACCCAGATCTATTTTTGTATATCCTATTGCTTATCTGTTCTATGCTTTATTTTCAGAGTACACCGAGATAGTAAACTGTATAAATTTCAATGTAAAATGGGGTGTTTTAAAACTTTTGACCATGGTGTATATACAGCATACAGTATATACACTATGTGGCCAAATGTATTGGGACACCCCTCCAAATCATTGGATTCAGGTGTTCCAATCACCTCCATGGCCACAGGTGTATACAATCAATCAGCCCCTAGGCATGCAGACTGCTTCTACAAATATTTGTGAAAGAATGGGTTGCTCTCAAGAGCTCAGCAAATTCAAGTGTGGTACCATAATAGATATAAATAGATATGCAGTGCTAAGAAATAATAAATTCAAAATGTTGATATAAAAAGGAAAAGTGGGCACTAATGATAGTGCAGGAGTAGTGCAGTGGTGATTATGTCTAATAGCGATGTTTTAAGTCTATAATAAACCAAATGATGGAGTGATAGTGATGGTGAGTCCAATCACAGAGTGGTAGAATTCATTAAAAATAGTGCTCCTGTGTTCCGTGCCTTTCGATTGCTGACGAGAAAATCCGGTACAATAATGCACTTACCAGAAGTACATATAATGAGAGCATTATATGTATATCATAAATGTGGTGTCATCCAGGTCTGGTCTAGAGTTGTGGGGTCATCAGGCTCAACAGTGGACTCTCAGAGATGAAGCGATTCACACTCGGGGGCTCCCTTCTGCTCACAGACTCCTCAGGATAGTTTAGCACCCTGGTTACACCTTCCCAAATGGCTCCACCTTATAAGGATCGAAATAACCAAGCCTGTTCCACTTCTCTGGGTTAAAGGGATTGTCCTCTCAAGAATGTTCTTTTCTTTCTTGTATCTGAACTTTGTAGGTAGGTACTTTCAGGAACTTAGCCTAGTATCCACTGCAAGTATATCAAAGGGTTGGACTTTAGTAAGCAGTGCTTAGTTGTATAAATCCAGAGACTGCCAGCATGTCTTTTCAAACTGCCTCCACCCTTCACTAAGACCAAACAACAACAAAAAAAACATTTTGAACATTTTGAACTTATTATTTCTTAGCGCTGAATATCTATTTATATCTATTACTTTTAAGGTGTTGAGGTTTACCTTTGTACCTAGCTGCTTTCTCCATATACCAAGTGCTGCGCTCACATTTACTCTTGTTATACTGTGGTACCATGATAGGTTGCCAACTGTGATATTAGTCAGCAGTTAACTTTATATTATAACACAGTGGAAGCAACTGTGAGCAACAGGAACTCAGCCACCAAGTGGTAGGCCACGTAAAATTACAGAGCATTCTGAAGCACACAGTGCGCAGAAGTTGCCAACTGTCTACACAGTCAATAGCTAAAGACCTCCAAACTTGGTGTGGCCTTCAGATTAGCACACCAACAGTGCATAGGGAGCTTCATGGAATGGGTTTCCATGGACAAGCAGCTTCATCCAAGCCCTACATAACCAAGTGCAGTGCAAAGCATTGGATGCAGTGGTGTAAAGCATGCTGCCACTAGACTCTAGATTAGTGGAGACCTGTTCTCTGGAGTAACCAATCACGCTTCTCTGTCTGGCAATCCGAAGGGCGTGTCTGGGTTTGGCGGTTGCCAAGAGAACGGTACTTGCCTGACTGCATTGTGCTAAGTGTAAAGTTTAGTGAAGGGGAGATTGTTTTTCAGGGGTTGGGCTTGGCCCTTTAGTTCCAGCAAAGGGAACTCTTAAGGTGTCTGCATACCAAGACATTTTGGACAATTTCATGCTCCCAACTTTGTGGGAAGAGTTTGGGGATGGCCCCTTCCTGTTCCAACATGACTGCGCACCAGTGCACAAAGCAAGGTCCATAAAGACATGGATGAGTGAGTTTGGAGTTGAGGAACTTGACTGTCCTGCACAGAGTCCTGGCCTCAACCCCACAGAACACCTTTAGGATGAATTAGAGTATAGACTGCGAGCCAGGCCTTCTCGTCCGACATCAGCGCCTGACCTCACAAATGTGCTTCTGGAAGAATGGACAAACCTTCCCATAGACACCCTCCTAAACCTTGTGGACGGCCTTTTTTTTTTTGTAGCCCAATGAGATTTGAAAGTTAGGGTCACATGGCTAAAATAAGGAACCTGAACTTTGTATTGAAGTTTTGTGAATGAAGCATATTGTCTTACAACATAAATTAATAAATCTTCAGATGAGCTATACAATTATACTACAAAACCATTTTCTTTATTTTATATTATCTAGGTAAATGAAGATAGTATGCGATCAGTAGCTTCTTACAATGCAACTTTCATACAAGTGACGGAGTTCGTGATTTTCGGATTCCAGAGCCTGCAGAATTACCAGATTTTGCTTTTTTGCATGTTACTTTGCATCTACCTCCTTACCCTCTGTGGCAATGGCAGTATCTTCTTTTTGGTCATCTTTGACCAGCATCTGCACACCCCAATGTACTTCTTTGTTGGCAACTTGTCATTTTTGGACATGAGTTACACCTCGGTGACCATCCCGAAGATGTTGTCCAAGTTCCTGATGAACCTGAATACCATTTCCTACCCTGCCTGCTTTGCTCAGATGTATATTTTCCTGTCGCTAGGATCGGCAGAGTGTTTACTCCTGGCCATAATGGCCTACGATCGCTACATAGCTATATGCTCACCCTTACACTACCAAACCATCATGACAAAGCGGTTTTATTTAATACTGTCCGCTGTAGCTTGGACTGGGGGCTTTGCAACTCCGCTCACAGCCACACTTCTTGCCTTGAAGTTACCTTATTGTGGTTCCAATGTCATCCACCATTACTACTGTGATCATCCTCCACTGCTCCAGTTGGCCTGTGCCAACACGTCCTTTAATGTAACAGTAGGGTCTTCCATGGCTGCCTTTCTCATTTTGATAAGTTTTACGTTAGTTGTTATATCATACATAAAGATTATTATAGCCATCCTGAAAATCAGTTCCCACGTTGGTCGTAAGAAAACATTTTCTACCTGCGCCTCTCACTTTGCAGTGGTGAGTTTATTTTTCCTGCCCCTTATCTTCATGTACGTTCGTCCAACAGCCTCCTACTCATCTGACGTGGACTCTTTGGTGGCCTTTTTATATACCGTATTAACTCCCATGATGAATCCCTTTATATACAGCCTGAGAAACAAGGACATCAAAGAGGCTTTCCAGAGGAAAATAAGCTGCAAATATTCTATTTCTAACATGGAATAGGATCTAATCAACCGCCTCTCACCTGGCCTATAGACAAATGATGGCTGAGCAGGAGCACTGCTTTCATTCACAACCATTCATTGTGCACTATTGTGATGATCTTTGTGATTGGTCACAGTGATCACATGGTACAGACAAGGACAATCAGAGAGCATCTGTACCTTGTTATAACTTATAACTGTGGCCAATAGCAGCTATGACAATAATACGCAATGCCAATCAATGGATGCCATTCATAAAAATCATTGCTTATAACAGTGATCTCTCTTATAAGCAATCATAATGTTAAAAAAAAATTGGATCACTTTACCAAAGAAAAGAAGCAGAATACATTTTGGGCTAAATTTATGAAAAACAATTATTTATTTGTAAAGCTTTATAAAAGAAACAAAGAAAAATGTGTTTTTCTTTTAAAATGTTCTGTATTTTAAAAAAAAAAAAAAAACGAGTGGTGATTATCACTAAAGGAAAGCTCCATCTGCCTCAAAAAATGATAAAAAATGTAATTTGGGTACAGTATTGCATGACTGAGTCATTGTCATTCAAACCATGACAGTGCTGAAAGCTGAAAATTGGCCTGGACAGGAAGGGGGTGAAAGTGTCTGGACCTGACGTGGTTAAAGAACACATTTTTTTGTTGGAAAAACTATTATGATCTTTTTCTGTTTTGTTAATATTTGGAAGCAAGTTGTTCAGTACTTTTGAGATCTTTTGCATTTGTACAATGGTCTTAAATAAATCTCAAGTTATTGAATTGCTGCATTTCAGACTTCCTTTCTTACTGGAATACTTGGAACAAAATACTTGATTAAAAGACTTCCTAACTGGAAAAATACGTCATGGTATTGAAGTGGAATAATGGGGTTGTAGCTGCCCTAGGATGCCATAACCCCATTATTATAATTGTCAGCAAAAGCTGCTCTTTCCGATAAAAGTGATCTGAGCAGCGGATTAGCCACTGGATCACTTTTAGAAGAGCCACTTTCAGATAGTTCTCAGACTTACCTGGCTCATCAGAAAGCCCGGGAAATGATTCGGTGGTTGGGGCAGCTGGTCATAGAGAAAGATAGCCTCTTCTCATCTCTATGACCTAGGAGGCCGGGAGCAATGTCATGGCATCATTTCCGGTTCATGGTCAATGAAAACAATGATATTTTGTTTTTGGAAAGCATTAGATCAATGTTATTTTTTTTAATCTGATTCTTTTTATTGTAAAGATGAGATTTATTATTTATTTCAGGTACTTACATAGTGCCAGCAATTTATGCAGCACTTTACATATATATTGTATATTCACATCAGTCCCTAACCTTCAAGGGGCATATAATCTAAGGTCCCTAACTCACATTCACACATACACATACTAGGGCCAATTTAGACAGGATGTAATTAACCTACCAGCATGTCATTGGAATGTGGGAGGAAACCTATGCAAGCAAAGGGAGAACATGCAAACTCCAGGCAGGTGGTGCTGTAGCTGGGATTCAAACCAACAACCCTAGTACTGCCAGGGAAGTGCTAACCATTTAGCCACTGAAGGAATCCCTGGGCAGGGCATACTATGCCTGTCACTTTCAATATAAGATAGTCCCGGGTAGCAGCTAATCCGGTTTCCCGATGTAGTGCTTCTTCCCCTTTCTGGCCCAGGGGGGTGTAGTCTACTCACTCAGTCCCCTGTCTGTAAACTGATGGGTCAGTGGCTGCTCTCAGGTCTTCTGCTGGGTTGGTGGCTGCTCTCATGCCTTCTGCTGGTCGGTGGCTGTTCTCAGGTCTTCTGCTGGGCCGCTTCTTCCCTGCTGCACAAATGGTCCTTGCTCTTGGGGCTGATGAGGTCCTGAACTTTCCTCCTTTCCAGCTCCACTGCCTGTAGTTGAGTTACTTCCCAACTGGGCCCCCTCGGTTTTCCCAAGGTCAGAAAAAAGCCCCTTAAAAGTTTAGAACCCTTTCCAAAATCTCAGAAAGGGGAGGTGTCCGGGAAAAAAATGACCTGCAAAGCCCCCCAAAGCCCTATGAAAAAACTTTCTTTCACCCCCAGTTTCCGGGTTGGAAAAAAATAATCTGCTCCCCTTATCCTTAGGGGAAAGTTTGGGTTTTTAAATTTGTGAAAAAAATGGGAAGGTTTCCTCGCCAAATTTTCATTTTGTCAAAACATTTTCCCTGGATGGGGTTGAAAAAAATTTAAAAATGATCTTTGGGGAAAACCGGTAACAATTTCGGGTCAAGACCAGTTGTATAGCAGTGGAAAGGCCCCTGAAAAAACAAAAAATAGGTCCGGAAAAGGTACCGGGTGGGGGGGGGTGGGATCCCACCCGGGGGGCTAAGCCCCAAGACCAAACCCAAAAGGGCACCCCCGGAGGATTTTGTGCAGAAACCATTTGCGGCCAGGTAAGAGGAAAGGACAAACGGAACCCCTGGGCAGTAAAAAAAACCAAAAGGGTCCGAGAGAATCCGGAAAGAAACACAGAAAATGGGAGCCCGAACAAATAAAATCGGAAAGGACCCGTCGCAAGGGGACAGGAGAAGCGAACCAAAACAAACCAGGCCCCCATAAGGACCCCATCGCCAGTTTGGGGAGGAGAACCAAAGTCAAAACAAGCCAACGGAAATAGGCAGCCCCGCATTGGGGATAGGCAGAAAAAATCAAACCCCCCAGTGGGTAAGGGCAGCCCCGCATTGGGAAGCGAACCGACGAGAACAAGCCAAGGGTCGGAATGAGCCCCCGGCAGGGGGACGGGCGAACGTTAAAACAAGCCAAGGGAATAACATGGGACAAAAGGAAAAACAGGAAAGACAAACAAAAAACCCGGAGGCACAAAACCCCGGAAAACAGGAAAGGGCAAAACCCTGCTTAAAGGGAAGTTGGGGAGGAAAGGGGGGCAATTTACAACAAGGTAAAGTAGGATCATCCAAAAAAAAGGGAACGGGAGCACCCAGGGGGCCCCGGGGGTTTTGTTTTGCACCCACAAACCCCAAGGAGGGGAAAGAAAAGGAAAAATGGGGGGGAAAAAAAAAAAAAAAAATAAAACCCCAAAATTTTGGGGAGGGAAACACCATCGGGAAAAGCTGGTTAAAGAGAGGACCTACAAAGGAAATGACCAAACACACCAAAACCACGGGGGATTACAAAAAACCCGAAACGAAGGTTTTGCCCCTTCCAACTCGACCCAACATAATTGAAAACTAATAGACCAAAAAAAGAAGGCTTGACAGACCCCAAAAACCAAAAAGAATAAAAAGACTTTTTTAAGGAAAAAGGGAAAAACCTCAAAACAAAATTAAGATCTTGGGGACAAAAACGTTAAAAAAAGCTTGTACTTAAAAGGGGCAGTCTATTAACTTGCATGCCCAAACTTTTCCCGGAAAAATTTTTGGGTTTTTTTTTATTTTGAAAGGGTGAAAAATGAAAAAACAAATTTTTTGAAATTTTTATAGAATTAAAATTTTAAATTTTTTTTGGGAAAAACCATTTTTCCCCAAACTTTCAAATTTTTTTAGCGGGGCCCCAAACTTGTGGGTGTATTTTATATCTTTGTATTTTGCAAAGTTTTCAGAAAAAAAATTTAAAAAAAAAAAAACACTTTGTGATTTTAAAAATGCACAAAAACACAGAAAAAACCACTTTTTTTGGTAAATTATAAAAGATGATTTCAATGAGTAAATGGGCACCAAAAATTTACTTTTAAAAAAATGCCTGTGGGAATGGCCCCAAAATTAAAATACCTAAAAATTCCATAGGGGCGCTGAAAAAAGCCTTTAAGGTTACACGGGAAGTTGAAAGGGGTTTGATTGCCCCCGCTCTAAATTTTCGTGGTGATACCTCAGTGTGGGCAATCCCCATTGACATGCGTGTGCAGGATGATGCCGAGTTCTCTTTTTTCATGTTAGCATGCAGAAATGGGGGTATTTAAATTTTTTTTGGGGTTTTTAATCATATTATTTTTTTTTACAAATTTAAATTTAAAATTAAAATTTTTACACGTAACTACCGATTTTCACTCCATAAGACCCATTTTTTACCCCCCAAAAAAGGGGGGGAAAATGTCAGGGTCTTATGGAGCGAAGGAGCGGCCGTCATCTTCTCCCTGCGGACCTTCCCTTTTTTTTTCCCTGCTCCAGCGCTGCGTCTTCCCCCCCCGGGTTCGGACACCCGGGGCCCACGCGCATGCGGAAAAGATGCCTTTTTGAAGGGTTTGGGTGTTTCTGGGACACTTGAAGGTCCCAGAACGCCCGGGCTATTCAAAAAGGCAGGCTTCTCGCCGAAATGCGCAGTGGGCCCCGGTGTCCGAAGCCGCCAGGGAAAAAGGAAGGAAACTCCGCGGGGAGTGGGGGGCAGTACCCTTTCCCCCCTCCTTCCCCAAAGGTCGCGTCTCTGGTCATCCCCGTACTGTTTTCCGCATCCCCGTAAATTCCGTATATGTCCGCAGTCTCTGGTCATCCCCTGTACTTTTTCCCCGCAGTCTCTGGTCACCCCCTTACGGTCCGCAGTCCCCTGGCATCTCCGTACTGTGTCCGCAGTCTCGGTAATCCCCTGTCCTATGTCCCAGTCTCTGGTCATCCCCTGTATGTTCCGCAGTCTCTGGTCATCCCTGCTGTTCCGCGTCTTGGTCATCCCCTGTACTGTTCCGCATTTTTGGGTCCCCCCCTTCTGTTCCGCATCCCTTTCTGGGCATCTCCCTTTTTTACTGTGTCTGCAGTTTTGGTCTCCCCTTATGTGTCCGCAGTTTTGGTTTTTTTCCCTGTCGTTCTGCATTCTCGGGGTATCCCCGTATTTTTCCGCGTCTTGGTCATCTCCTGTACGGGGTTTCCCAGTCTTGGTCTTTCCCCTGTACTGTCGCAGTTCGGGTTTATTTCCTGTCTATGTCGCGTCTCTGGTATCTCCTGTACTTGTCGCAGTCTCTGGCATTCCGACCGTGTCCGCTTTCTGGTCATCCCCGTACTTGTCCCAGCCCTTGGTCATTCCCCCTGTACTTTTGTCCGCAGTCTCTGGTCACTCCTGTCTT